TGTAAGCAGTCGTCAACCCATAAGTGTAGGAGGAACTCGAGGACTGTAATAGCTCTGTATCGTACATTTAGAGGCCCAGGTATATCCTCATTAGCCCAGGATGCATAGATGGCGGCTAATTGAGAGATAGACACATCGATTATTGGTAGCCTATTAAATGAAGAGCGGAAAAGTTTCAACGAGCTTGCCGTACGAGTTTCTTCTCCGGTATGCCTTTCCGGTATCTCCAGCCCAAACCCTAGTCTACCTGTGAAGGCCACCACTGAGATACGGAAGAGAAGGGAAAGAAAGTCGTTGACTAAAATTTCCAGTCAGACCGATGAGTGTCACACGTGTGGTCTCACCGTAGCCAAGAGAGATACAGCCTTTGAGTGTAACATCTACAATGAGTGGGTGCACAGTCAGTGTGACGAGGACATGCCAGACCAAATCACACCTTCATGGCGTGCTGCCCATGCACGTGGTTCTGGTGCATCTGCCCACAGTGCCGTATAAGGCCACTCTTCTCTAAAGGCTGGCTGATGGAGGTCGTAAAAGACATTGCAGTGACTACTGTGATGCCGGCACCCACACAGACCACTACCCAGGTCCAAGTGGCAAGAGTGTCAGCATTGTTCACCGGACAGTCACACCGGTGAATAGTCCAAAAAGACCAAAACGAAGACCAGGCAGACAACCAACTACATCCGTCCCTAACCCTGAAGTCGCTTTAACGGCCAACCCCACTGTACATCGGGAAAAATAGGTGACAGCGAAAAAGAAGGTCCACCCATCCCATAAGAAACCACTCACGGCACACGAAAACAGAGAAGTTGATGACAAATTGAACCCCATCACCCTGTTTAACGTCCCGGTGCACCATGACAGCCTTCTTGAGAACAGGGAATCTTTTGACAAACAGCAATGGGAAACCGTATGCACCACACTAGGACTGGGTAGCCAAGAAGCAAAGCTGTGCGGGCTCTACAAAGGCAGCTACCCACCTCAGAGAAAGCCTCAACCGATGAGAGTTACCCTAAGCTCTGCTAGAGAAACGGAAAGATTCTTGCTGATGTCACGCACACTAGTCATCAACAGGTCATCCGGCATTAGAGCCAGACCAGACTGTCGTTGGTCAGCAAAAAAGTATCTCGCGAGACTCCCCGAAAGCTGAAACCGACGACCATGGTTGACCACGGCATACCGGAACTGACAACAAGCACAGTAGTGGAAAAGTATGCTCACGACGTTCAGCAATGGCAGCAGTTATCAGGGTCAAGTGGGGTAGCGGCGGCGGCGGTCTGCAGACTGTCACGTCCCTCAAATTTGACGACGATAACATCAGTCCGGTTGATGACTGTTAACTTCAGCTGCCAAGAACTTCTAGCCAAAGTACTGCAAACTTGGTAGGCAGTAAAAGATAACATCAGTGGGAACGTCCGCTGCTGTGGAAGCAGGCCCAGGATACTGTGACAATAGCAAATGGCAGCTCCGCCCACTGCTGAAGTCACCATCACTGTCAACAGACAAGATGTACAAACAAGCCTAGACTGTATGAAACCCCCAGAAACTATTGTGGGAAAAAACGTGATTGGCCGTCCCATGACAAGTTTCGCCACTACGCACGACTCCCTCCAGTCTGCCAGCACCAAGATACCCCATGTCGTTAGAAGCATATCCGAGTATCTTTACAGTGGTGTGAGGGGACTTGGAAGTAAGATGGGAAATTACCATTTCTCTGCCCCTACCTTGCTCCAACGATCATAATCCTGACAGAAACTTGGTTATCACCGGATATTAGTGACGTCAAAACTAGTATAGACGGTGTGCGTCTGTTCAGGAGAGACAGGGGGTTTAAGGAAGGAGGCGGAGTGGCGATGCTGATAAGTGATGACCTTAAAAGTGAACGAGCAGCTGAAACTCTACTTTCGGGGCTCCCAGACTCCAGTTGGCGTCACTTTAGGGTTGGACATACCGAGTACCTTGTAAGGGTGTCTACAGAACTCCTACTATCAACATGGAAGATGACCGGCAACTGCTGCAAGGAATGCCCGGGGTGACGTCCATCGGATATGACCAGGTCATTATAGCCGGCTACTTTAATGCTCTGGCTCTCAGTCTTGGGCAGGACAGGGGAACCCCAAGTCGAAGGTCTGACCGAGACCTACTCAACACTATCAGGAGGGCTGGGCTGCGCGAGAATATTGGTGATGATACTCGCTGGGGGTTTGGCGGAAAGCCGTCCGGACTGGACTACTTTTTTACCGGTGACCACCTGCTGGTAGAAAATATACAGGTGCAGACCCCTCGGCAGCAGCGATCACGGCGTGGTAGCGTTCAATCTGGTACTCAGTGAACAACTGTCATAGGAGGCATCGCGCCTTGTATTTCCTACAACAAAGCGAACTACGTGGCGATGAACCAATACCTGTCGACAGCACCGCGGCCTCAGGAGTAGAGCAACCTATCGATTGATCGACATTGGGAACTAGCCAGAGATATTATCAAGAGAGCTGCCTCTGAAAACGTCCCGGTAATCACAGTAATGCCTCGGAAACGAACCTCATGGTTGAAGCGAGGCGCTGAACGCCTTTTGGAAGCCAAGAAGAAAGCGTGGCACAAGTGGAGGACCTCCAGAAAAGCGTCTGACCACGCCATGTATATTGCCCTAAGAAATCGATGTAACATTAGAGTGAGGGGAGACAGGAAGTCGTTCCAGGCGAACCTCGCTTAAAAGCTCGAGGCAAATCCTAAAAACCTACATCGGTTTATGGCAGGCAGAAAATCCACCAGCCAGGGGGCTTGCGTCCTGAAAGGCCTAAGTGGAGAGAACCTCCACGGACTAGAGATCGTCGAAGCCTTCAGTGCCACCTTCGGTACGCAACCGAATACGTCCCTATCAAACCAAAATTACCAGCTGTCCGACCGAAATTCAGCACCACCAAACGCAGTAGAGTTACCTGGAATAAAGGTAACTCCTGCTATGGTCCTCGAAAAACTGTCAAAGCTCCGCCCAGGGAAATCACCAGGGTGTGATGACATCCGACCGGCTGTGCTGAAACAATGCGCGGGTGCCTTGTGCGGTCCGCTGTGTAACTTGTTTCAACACTCCTTAGACAATCACATGCTTCCACAAGAGTGGAAAAGTGCTATCCTGTCCCCCATCTTCAAAGGTGGAGACAGGCAGAACCCAAAATGCTACCGACCCATAGCCCTCCTACCAGCGGTGTCAAAAGTAATGGAGAGTCTGGTAGACGACCATGCGAGGGAGTACTTGGAAAAGAGGGGAGCACTGAGTGATGCACAACATGGTCCAGTGCCACAAACATTCTGGCGGCAGGTGATAAGTGGATGGCATGCTGGGACCTAAATTTCCTGTCCATGTTATTTTCCTAGATTTTGTTAAGGCCTTCGACACAGTTCCACACGCAGTTCTTATTCACAAAGTAGAAAGGTTGGGCATCAAAGACAAGTGCTTTCATGGTTGCGGGACAATGTAGACGGTAGACAATTCTTCACAAAAGCCAACAGGGTTTGCTCGACTTGGAGGACATCATCATCTGGTGTGTCACAAGGAGCAATTCTGGGTCCACTGCTATTCCTTCTTTTTGTGAACGACCTCTCACTGAATTTCAGCTCCCCAATTCTACCTTACGCTGATGGTGTTAAGTTATGGGGAGCTATGACGTCAGAAACGGAATCAAGTGCACTGCAAAGTGACCTCAGATTGCTTGCAGAGTGGGTGGATATTATTGGACTTGCATTTAACCTAGATAAGTGCTGAGCCATGCTTCTCCGCACCTCAGACTCTCAGAAGGTACCCTATTCTCTCTGTGGAGCACAACTCCGCCACACCACCACAGAGAAGGACCCGGGGCTAATGCTGACTGACAAACTAGACACTAGCCCCAATTATCCAGGAGATACCTCCAGAGCCTACGCAGTACTGCAGACAACTGGGTGCCCTGACCCCAGGACTCCCTTTGAAGCTGCATGAGACCCATATACGACCCCACCTAGAGGTACACAATGTCACTACACCACCATATCTGAAAAGAGACATGAACCTCCTGGAGAAAGTCCAAAGGCGAGCCACAAAGGGTGTCGTGGAAATGAGGCGAAAACCATTTCAGGAAAGGCTGAAAGATCTAGGACTCTACTCTCTAAGCTACCGTAGATTACGTTGTGACTTGACAACGGCTCACAAAATACTCCGTAACCTAAGTCATCCGAACGGTGGAATCCGACTGAACGGCCACTATGGCGATCCTCGTGGTTATCCAAGGAGAATCGCCGACCAAAGAGCGAAAACCCGTATGCAATCACACTTCTTCTCTCTGCGAGTTTGTGGCCACTGGAACGCATTGCCTGCCGAGATTGCTACTGTTCCGTCTGTTGAGAGCTTCAAGAAGAGGTCGGACAGTTACGCAGCGACGCACGGTTTGCGCTCATCCAGCTAGGATGTGGACTAGGCTGACACGGCCTACTATCCCACCATGGTCAACCCACTGTCTAATACTTTGTGAACCACCATCACTGGGACCGCTGCTCATCCTGATACTTCCTGTGGTCGTCTCGCCAGTTACCTACTCCTACTAAAGAATTACTATATTTCCACTAGCCTTATCATGTGATGCGTTATTCTTTCCTCTGACTTTACACTCTCACCATGCCGTTTCTTTTTTCCTAATCTTTTTTTCTTTCGCTTTTCCTTCTTTTCTGTTAGTCTCTCTCCGCACTTTTTCTACCTTGATTTCTCTGCGCGCAGTTCTCGTCTCCTTTTTGCAACCAGTCCCACTAATTGTCTTCTGGCACGACTCTTGAGGAAACCATCTGCACCACAGTCCTCGGAAGAAAAAAACAACAAACAAATAACCCCCCCCCCCACAAATTTTACCAACACCAACCGCCCGTTGGGCTAACCAGAGCTCCAGCTGTCTAGTGGGTAGACCTACCGCATTGGAATCCACCAGAGACCTGGAACCATTCAACATAACCTGGAAGCGGGCACAAAAAATCAATTGGTTTAGACTAGCTCGTTAAAAGATATTGGATATTGGTCACGAATCTCACATGGGACATTGTACGCTGGACAAGGCACCTGAAAAGAGGGGAATCCAATGTTGTGTGTTGTGTTCTCTTCAAGGATTTTGAGGCCTGTTGGCTATCATTTGTTTAGAACTGTTGCGAACCAGTCGATCGCACGTGATGCCCCAGGAGGCACAGGTTCAGGATCGTCTTCAAGACCATTAGATCCGATCCAACAGTCGTTTATCTCAAGGTTGCGAGAATATCGTCAAAAGAGCGAGTAAGCGTCATTTTCGTGCAAAACTCCATTACATGATTTTAGAAAAAGTGAAGTGGGTTTAGCAGATGTTACACCTGAGGAATTGAAGGAATTTAGTGAGCTGTTGGCCAGAGTGGATAGCGTATTTGGGGCTGAAGGACAGGATATGACACAGTTCCCTACATTCAAGTTCGAGGATCCTAAGCTTACTCTTCCGTCATCTTCTCTAAATATTCCATATCCGAAAGACTTGGAAGATGCCGTTGGTGTGTAGCCTGTTTTTTGGCACATTGTACTATAGTTATTTTATTTAGTTGACTAAAGAAACAAAGTCCGTAGATTGAACAGTGTTTTCACTTGTGGTTGTGAAGTTAATGTGGCGTTTATGCTTACTCAGAAGTATAAAGGTATTTCGGATTGATAGTAGATATTCTTGAGCCTGCCATTATCCTGAAGTTAAGTAGATCCAAAAGTTCGGGTGGTATTGGTACTTATTGATAGTTATGGAACATAAAATGAATTCAAGTTTCAGAGTGAACTAATGACTAGGATACAAAAAACAGTGTCTAACCACAATGTAATTCTTGCAATGTTTTGGGCTTAGCTGTCTAGGTGATTTGTCTGAAAAGAAATACCTTAAAGCCCTCTCAAGCAGAAGCTGTAGTGGTTTTGTAAAGGCATAAGTGTTTTTAGATTGGAGGTACGTAGCTGATTCCCGTACACTTGATTGTTTTTGCGAGGTCCGTGTACAAACCAGGGTTATAGCTGAACCGATGGAACCTTAAGAGTTTTGTTATGTTAAATCTCATCTTTATATAAGTGGTTTTAATCTTGATGGGTCATACTTGTCTCCACTTGATTGAATTCTAGGCGGGTGCTGTGGATTATGGACCTATGTAGTATACCGCGTAGACTAAATATTGGACGTGTAATACAGAGGCTAGTTATTAAATAGGACACTGAAGTCAGTTAATATTGCGAAACTTTGTCTATTGAAGTAGGTGAGACAGAAGCTATGGACACCGACCAAAGATGCAATGTTAGTCGGGATAAAATCAGGTTAGTAAGGGTGGTCGTGACACAATATCAAACTGTGAAGTTTGATTAATTTGAGATGTGTAGGAAAGTGAATAATAACTAAGCTTATGGCCACTTTGCTGCATATGTCACTCAAGAGCCATTTCGGTGGTCCTGATGTATCGATGCCCTGAGTTGTAGTCCGGTTCGCTTCATTCCTCTTATCCCTTTTTCTCCTATTACTCAATACGACTGATAGTATTATTTTCACGTCCTTTCTGATGTTAACTACCACCTCAAAGTGTTGATGTGGAGTTAAATCAGGAGTAAAACTTGAGCACTATGGTGAATTGTAATCCCATTGTGCCCCGTTCATTAAATGCACCACTCAGTGAAGGAATATTACTTGACAATGTTTCACTGTGACGCATTTAAAAAGTAGACTAAGATGGTAATGGGAAGCTTGGTAGGCAGTTGTACTATATTCATTGGCTTGAGATAACATCAGTTACAACTCTTATTCGAAAGCAGTGGTGACCGTATTGTAGTTTTCTGTTGTATTCTGTTTGTGAAAAGTAGCACAAATATAAAAGATTTTTTGGAATGTATCTTATGTAACTGACTGTCTAATCACTCGCCTTTCTTTTCCGGGCATTCGTTGGTTTGTCATAGGTTTCACTGTATTGTTGTACGTATGTGGTAAGTTTCTTGATACCTAATGTGTTGAAAATATATGAGATAACGTGTTTTTCAGTTGTGTAGTTGGAAGACATAGTTAATAAATCCCGTCAATTAACTCTTAGCTATTGGTTTCCAGCCCAGCTATCCTTTACCTTCACCTACTGATACTAATATTAAGCCGTTTACACCTTCCCCAGCCTCTTACTCTGCGACCATTGCCAACGATCAGAGCCATCGGAACCTCATTCCTAGTCTCCTAAGACCCCGTCATCAACTTCATGTAGAATGTTTCAACGTCCGAACTTCATACCGAATCAGACAGCAAGCATCTCTCTCCAGAACTCTGGAATCTCTAGCCTTGGATGTATGCTCTATCTCTAAAACGTATACGGAACGCAAGTGTGGTTGTTAGTTTGACTTCAACTGGCTTTGGTAGTGATTCTTCAGAATTCACCTCAAGAGTATCCGGAGACTCAATGGCTAACTCATGGACTCGCTAGTGAATGCATAGCATTGAGTTAGAGAGCAGCAGATACCCTTGTCAGCTGGATACCAGTCAACAGCCGTCTATGTGCTGTTCTACTGACTTGAAGGATCGTGAGACTAGGCGACGGCTATTCGTAATCTCCACATATGCACCCACCGATTCCAGTTCGTATGATAACAATGGATGAATTCTATGAAAAGCTGTCAACTTTATTACAGAGAGCGGAACGTTCAAATGTAGTCATGGTGGCAGGTTACTTTAACTATCAAGCAGGGAAGCTAAGGCATTCGGAAAGGCATTTACGGAATCCCATGCCAACGAAGCGACAGTGGCGATCGTCTACCGCAAGTTTGTCCTAACAGTAACTTGTTCCTGGCCAACACTAACGTTAGGCATAAGGAGAGGCACTCTCACATGGCGTCCTTCGGCTTCAAGCCAACGATCGACACATAAATCACATTGCTATAGGTCGTCGGTGGGGGTTGACACTTTCTGCAGTACCAGTTTGGACTCTGATCACGCTTCAGTACGGACGCGTGTATGTCTGCGCCTTACTTGTTGCAGGAAAAAGGCGATGGTAATGCCTCTCTGTATGGTCAATTGGAAGGTGAGAATGTTAAGTCCGAATTTAGAGAAGAAGTAGCTAAGCATCTATCTAAACATGACAGCAATGCTTATCCTCAGGAAACCTGGCGTGTTAATAAGACTGCTGTAGAAACAGCACCGAAGACAATCAGTAACCTACACATGAAGGTTAGCAAACGTCATTGGATTTCCATGACGTCATCCAAACTTATTGATGCAAGAAGACTGATTCCAGTGGGGTCTTACCATGATGAAGAGCGAAGGCAACCTAAACGTGGGTTGACCGAGTCTTTGCATCGATCACGAGCTGTGGTAGGTGGCAAAAGCCAGAGAGGTGAGGAGGGTATCAGCGTTGGGTACTACTTGGCAACTATCTAGACTTATTAGGGATATCGGCAAGAAGAAGACAATGGTTAATGAAATCACCGAAAGGGATGGGATGCTGATAGCCATCAAGGATAAACGGCTGGAACGTTAGGCAGAACATTCCATATTAGGTCTGTTTATTTGATTGATAACACATAGGTCCTGGGACAGGGACACTTACCGGTGGCCGACACTTGCCATATTTCTTGACCTGAAGGCATTTGACTCTCAACCGTGTGGCAGTGTCAGTGTGAAGGGAGTACCGTGCAAGTCTATAGTGCTAATTAAAGCTGTTTAGTCTAACTCAGCCGTGTTACTGCTTCTGAAAACTTGTCAAGTGAGTTGACAACAACTAGTGATGTTCGCCGAAGATGCTTACTGTCACCGTTCTTATTCAACTTCGTCATAGACGTACTAATGGATGTAACCTTATGTACCTCTGACTTCACAGGTATTGATCTGATCTCTGGAGGTCATCTAGTTGACTTGGAGTATGCAAACGATATTTCCCTGCTATGTGAAGACGCTAACAAAATACAGAGTCTTCCGGATGCGTTGAACAGAAATCTGATTATGTTTGACATCCGTTTCGCTACCACATGTCAAATGTGAAATGATGCTTCAGGACTGGTCTGCTGCAAGTACTCCCAGTTTAACTATGGGGAGTGAAGTGGTGCGTTTTGTCGTCCGCCTCACTTACTTATGGAGTTGCATCAGCTCAAAGCGGCCGATTGATGACAAAATCTCATCTCAGATGCGGAAAGTCCGTTTCGGACTTGGCAACTTGCGCTATCCGTGGCGCCGACTGGCAAGATCTCCAACTATCTACTAAGGACGAGTATACTGTGTTGCAGTTCTTTCTGTTCTGTTGTAGGGCTGAGACATAACCGTTAAAAGTAGAAGACATGAAGTGATTATATATCTTCGTAGTATTGCTCACGTTTGGTGAAACCACCGTGTGAGCAATGTTGAAGTCAGGCGAAGGGTACTAGGCAAGACAGGGAAGTCGATTGATGAGGTTGTGAGTCTTAGTCGACTGAGATGGCTTGGACATGTACTGCGCATGCCGAGCTACCACCTTCCTCGAGGTACCTTGCGAGGAGAAGTTGGATTAGGTTGGGAGAGGGTTCACGGTGAACAAGCGGACCAAGACGTGACACCAGCCCATGAAGTCCCTTGCTATTGGTCTGAGTCCAGTGGGGAGCTGTAGACTGGGTGAATAGGGTCTCCGAGACTTGCAGTATGAGTGTTTGAGGAATCACGTTGACGTGGCTGAAAATCAATCACAGTAGCGCAGATGTATTCACTCCTTGATGATGTTTTCTAAAGCTTGAATATTCGCAGTAACTTATCTTCAGATCGTTTATTCCCTCACACTACTTTATGTACTTGATATCACTCTTTTTGCATCTACTTGTTCTTTGTATACTACTGTGAAGTGTGGCAACTTGGACCAATGCACCTGTATGCGAGGTTCCACGTTTTTGTTAGTTAGTCAGTCACATAGTGAACCACATTGCAATATTATTATTGTTATTATTATTATTATTATTATTATTATTATTATTATTATTATTATTATTAGTCCCTTGGGTTCCTAGTGGAACATAGGGCTTCAGTAGCACGCCTCCAGTGACCTCTGTTCTCTGAGATCTTTTGAACCTGGTCCCACGACAGCCCACAAGCTCTCATTTCCTCCTCGCACGACCTCCTCCATGTCACCCTTGGACGTCCAACTCGTCGCTTCCCATGGGATTCCACTCGAGGGCCTGACGCGTGATGTCCCCAGTCGGCCTTCTCAGTGCATGCCCAATCCATCTCCACTTCCTCCTGCATATTTGTTGCGTGATAGGTTCTTGGTTGGTTCGTTCCCAGAGTTCCTTGTTGCTTATTCTTTCTGGCCATCTGATCTCCAGTAGCGAGCGTAAGCAGTTGTTGATGAATGTCTGTAGTTTATTGGAAATGCCTTTCGTAACGCGCCAAGTCTCTGAACCATACAAGAGCACTGACTTGACGTTGGTGTTGAAAATCCGTATCTTGTTCCGCATGCTGAGTGCAGAAGATTTCCACACTGGTTTCAGGCTAATGAACGCCTGTCTTGCTTTTCCGATTCTGACTTTGACGTCCTCGTCCGTCCCGCCTGTAGTTAAGACAGTGCTTCCTAGATAGGTGAAGGAGGTTACTTCCTCTAAGTTTCTCCCGTTGAC